TCTTGAACTTTTTTGAATTTGTCATTATAGCCACTTTTACCTATTACATGATACAACGGCATGCCATACAGCTACTACTACTTTGCTGCCATCAAGTGGCTGAAAATGGTACTGCTCTTTTTTTCTTTCTTTTTTCAGTCAGAATGAATGAAAATGGTCATATCTCAGCCAAAAATTGGTTTATAAATATGGGGAAAAATCCATAAGTCGCTTCGGCCTATAAGTCGCAGGTCATTTAAATTATGCAAAAAAACTGCAACTTATAGGCCAAAAAATACGGTACTTCAACCCATCATAGTATTTGTTGTTCGGTCTTACTGGTCTCTCCAAAAGTTGTAGTACAACTTTGGCTTGTTCTTTTTTTACAATGGGTTTTAGTTGAATTCTGTTAAGACCAAAACAAGTTTCAACAATAGGTTGAAAATGGCGTTTTAACTAAAAGCAGTCAAGTTCAAAAATCTTTATTTTCCCCGAGGGGCAATTTGTTTATCAGTAGGCACACGAAACAACAATACTAGACAAGACATTGAGACATTAAAATAACTACAGAAATCATCACTGTTCATTGGGAAGCCTGATCGCTACAGGGATGAATGAGTTTTTTGGTCTGTTCGTTCTACATCTGGGCAGCAGGTACCTGCGTCCAGATGGAAGCAACCTGAACTCACCATGAAGTGGATGATCAAGATCTGCCAGAATCAGCCTGGCCTTGTTCACAGACCTTGCCTTGTGTAGGTCATTGAGGTTCTGTAGGGCTATGCCGAGAGTTTGTTCCTGCTTTTGCATGTCAAAAGTCCAAACCAACTTTGTGGCAAGTCACAAGGCTCTGGGCTGCGATTGTTGGCCATGAGTTCTTGTCTCCATAATGTCTGTAAACGTTTGCGCTGCTTCTCAGTTGCCTTGCTGCATTTTTTTAAAAAACATTTTTCCAACAAATCTCTCAAATTACTCCGATTCATCTTGGGTTTATTAAACATGTCTCAAGTTTAGTTTCCGAGTTATAAAGTGCAAGACAGGTTTGGGAGGGTCTGGTGACCCGTGAAATCAAATTGTGTCTGATAAGAGAGGAAAGCAGAATAAATTGTGACCAAATGGAGACAAAATCAAGACACTTCATGACTAAATGTGCGTCATTTGCAGGAATGTAGCAATTTATTTGCTGTTGCTCAAGTCTAACTGAGCCAGGAAGTAGTTGAGAACAACTTGATTTTCTTCAGTAAAAACAGAACGAAATGTCACGAGTTGATGTTTGAAACCTTAAAAGTTGAAGAGGATCTCGGTCCTCCTCCTCCTCTCAGCGGCTGTTCGTGTTGCATACTGCCGCTCCACCCGTCTGATTGTCTCGTAGAGTTTGCTTGCCTTGGTTTTGACAAACACTGGCTACACACTGCGTGCACGCCCTCGCCAGGAGTATTTATAGACTTCCCTCAGGCCTCACAGAGGAAAAGGGACAGTAGACTAGGAGTGTAATTCAAAGGTGTCTGAGCGTCTCCTGCCATCGAATGTCAGCAGACTTGAGAAGACGTGGTTAAAATCGACTTGTTAACCCACGGCGGTGGAGTGGTCACACGGGGACAGATGGAGGACGCTGAAGTGATGGGCTGCTAACTGCAGAATCTCCTGGGCTTGGGTCTAGTAGTAATCCTCCTCCTGCACATCAGAGCTGCCTCACTGCGTCCTCTGCTGGCCAGAGAGAGAACGGCCCGATATGATTTGGTTGGATTTCTTTGTTGTGGATTATTCACAGACAATGGTCAACAAATGAAAAGCTTAACGAGGGTGTTTTTAGTAAGTCTGGGTCTGGGAGTGCTGCTCACGGTAATGTTTTTAATAAGATGATTATCTCTTGTCTTTTTTTGTTTTTTTCAGACTTGTACAAGCCTGCCGTTTCCCACAGAGACCTGAACAGCCGCAACGTTCTGGTCAAAACGGACGGCACGTGCGTCATCGTTGATTTCGGCCTGTCCATGAAGCTGACGGGGAACAGGCCGACGCGCCACGGAGAGGACGAAAACGCTGCCATAAGCGAGGTGAGCCTTTAAAAAAGCAGCCGAGAGGAGTCTTGTGTTCTTGGATAAACTTGGGGTTTACCAGTTCCTTACAATGAAACTCTTAATTGTACTTCTTGTAAAAATGACATTGGCATTCGGAAAAAATCTGGTGCATCTGCGGTTCTTAAGAAAAGTATTTACCAAAAGTAGGAATATAATTAAAAATGAGGGAGCAGGTTGAGTCATATCTAGTTAACCATTTTTATCAATTATAAAGCTGCTCTGATTGTTGCCTTATCATAGACGATATTTGGAATGAATATTCCTGAGTCCTGAGCTTGAAAGAAGGTCTGAAAATAATCTGGAATAATTCTTAAAATCCTTGATTTATCCTTGTTTTTAGTCAGAATTTTGGGTAAGGCTACCGGTATGTTAATAAACCACACAGGCAATGTAAGGACACCGCTGCAGTAGCGTTGGTCAGGGATGACGTCACAAGAATTGTGGAGAATCCCCAAAATCCCGGATGTCGGGCAAACAACGCAACAGACCTCATGCATAATAGCCACCTCCAATGCTTCTGTCCATGTCAACTTAAACGAAGATGATGTCCCTGAAGCCAAAATGGACGTGGACTTTATTGAAAGATACAGCAATACACAGCTGAAGCTCTGGCTACCATGCAAGGGACTAGCAGCGCCCGACAACCGAGCCGAATTTATAAAAAGGTACATGTGGCGTTCCCTGTGTTACCGTGGTGACTTTCACTCTTTAGCCTCGGTGAGAAAGAGCAGATGACAGAAGATTTCGTGTAGAATACATGCCGTCGATTCACCATGCATTGCGGATGTTTTTGGTGGCAGGATGAAGAATGATTTTGTCTGCCACTTTAATTGGTGTTAGCCGTTAGCGATCGGTTCTTTTGCTCTATATTTCAAAGGTGAAAACATATTCTATATGGAAGCTGAACTGAATGCCTAAAGAGACAAATTAGCGCGGTCGGGTTGACAAACGCGTTCAGTGCTCCATACTGGATGGATGGACATACCTGTTCAGGGACTGCAGTCTAGAGTTACTTTCAGGCCCCCAAAAAAATCCGACCTGGCCCCAGCCCGTAGCCATCATTTCTGAATTCGACTCGGCAAATTAACAGTAATTACAGGTCCGAACCAGACCCCCCCAACATTTTTAATTAAGCTTTGACTGCTTATATAGTTAACGGTCTGCGGATGCACAGCTGAATAAAAGGGGCAAAAGATCGGAGCTGAGGGGGTATTTGTCCTTTCATGACCGTCAAAGCGTATTACATCCCTGCTTCTGCCTACATTCTGCATTATTCAGACACGGACCCTGCTCTGACATGTCTGCTGTGCAGCGGCTGAACGGCTATTTGGCTGATTCATCGCTTCCTGGAAGTATAGACCCATCTGAAGCTTAACTGGGCTTTTTTTTAACCTTTTTCAAGGCCGGTCAGCTCGTGGTCAAATGGCCGCGTGCGGCTGTATGGCAAGCCATGTTGCTGTATAATTGGAATGTATGGCAAGCCATGTTGCCATATATTTGGCTTGCCAGCCGCGCGCGTCCACTGACGCAATTAAAAGCTTGACACAGACCCGGACAGCCCATCCAGCACATTATAACAGCCCGGCCCGAATATGGGCCAGGCTTGGGGCCCGGGTTAGAAATGACAGCTCTACTGCAGTCGCTGGTCAGGGTGCTCCTCTGTCGGTTCGTTCCCTCCAACAAAGTGTTTTGAACAGATGCAAGTACTCTTGTTTACATTTGTCAGTTCGAAGACAAAAATCGACCCCCCCCCCAATAATCAGCTTTGGAAATGGTATGAACCATATAACTTGTAAGAGTGACGGCTATGGCGACAAGCCTCATGTGCAAGTCCCGTAGCAGCAAAGCTTCTTGGATAACATTTTCCTGCTGTTTTTTTATCGGCACAAACCAGGACTACTGCGCTGTATTGTACTTGGAGTTCAGTTTGCCAGACATCCGGGTACTTGTAAGGTTCAAGGCTCTTTATCGTCATTCGCATCACATGTGGTACATGAGGTGGAACGAAACTGTGTACACAGGGTCTCAGTTACATCCAACAATAGCAAAAATATAAAGTGTAAAAAGAAACGGTAAATAAGAATCTAAGATTTAAACCAAGATATACGCTAAACGAACACCAAACGGTACGCTAAAAGATCTAAGATCTACACTAAACACTAATGGTGCATAACAATACAATAGGAAAAGGTTTACTCAAATCCCGGCGGAGTGATGCATTCAGCACCATCCGCTGGCGTAGTATCACGGAGGTGGTTTGGTTGAGAAAATGGTGATAACTGTTAGAACATCCCTTCAAAGTTGACTGGATTATCTTTTGAACTCAGGACCTCGGAGTTTGGAGCCATGATCTCGGCTCAATACTGAATTAAAGGAAGATTTCAGCATCGGAAGCCAATGCCGATAGTGGATAGGATCAGAACTTTATTTTTCTTTTCTGACTAAAAAGGCCACGGTTTTAGTTCCTATTTTTCAATACCGTTCGGCTTTAGTCGTCACTCTTGAATGCGAGTTCTTCTTGCTTGTTCCTCTCGTGTCATGTTGGGTGAAACTCTCCTCCCATCTTCTGCCAGGTGGGCACAGTTCGCTACATGGCTCCAGAGGTCCTGGAAGGTGCGGTGAACCTGAGGGACTGTGAATCGGCGCTGAAGCAGGTGGACATGTATGCCCTGGGCCTGATCTACTGGGAGATCTTTATGAGATGTACCGACCTTTTCCCAGGTGAGACTTTAAGGTCTTTTCTAGAAAGCAGGACGAGCCCACAGTCCAGTCTTAAGACTTCTGAACCCATCAAAAAGCAAGTCCCATCCATTCCCTAAATACAAATGGGGGGCAACGAACAATTTGTACAAAATGAAACAACTAAGGCCAACTATCAGTACTGAAAAGACCAGCTTATCAAATATAGAAGTAGTTTTTGTTGCCATTTCAATATTAGTTAAGAGGGAAAACACAATTGATGTTTGATGTGGAGGACATGCTCTAAATGTGATGTTTTATTTCTAAAAGAGAGATCTTTCCTTTTTCTTTTTGTGCCTTCAGGAGAGTCTGTGCCAGAGTACCAGATGGCCTTCCAGGCCGAGGCAGGGAACCACCCGACGTTTGAGGACATGCAGGTCCTGGTGTCCAGAGAGAAGCAAAGGCCCAAATTCCCCGAGGCCTGGAAGGAGAACAGCCTGGTGAGCGTGTTGGAAAGGGGGGGGGGGTAGCTACTATTTTTCTAATTTTAGCTTAGCTACTGTTCTGCTCATTTTGGCCTTAACCTACTGCTTTACTAATTTTTGTTTTATATTTACGGTTTCACTCATTTTTAGCTTTTAGCCACTGTTTTGCTACTTTTGGTCTTTAGCTTTGTTTTTGCTAGTTTTATTATTTTAGCTTTTTTTTTTGGCTAATGTCTTACTAGCTTCTGGTTTGCTTGTCTTTTAGCTACTATATTGCTAATTTTAGCTTTGCTATTCTGTTTATTTTGGTGTTTAGCTTCCATTTTGCTTATTTTAGCTACTATTATGCTAATTTTAACTAAGCTACTTTTCTCTTAATTTTATTGTTTAACCTCATTTTTGCTAGTTTTATTATTTTAGCTTTGGCTAATGTTTTACTAGCTTCTGGTTTGCTTATCTTTTAGCTACTGTGTTGCTAATTTTAGCTTTGCTATCGTTCTACTAATTCTGGTGTTTTAGCATCTATTTAGCTTATTTTAGCTACTGTTATGTTAATTTTAGCTTTGCTACTGTTCTGCTCATTTTGGCCTTAACCTACTGCTTTGCTAATTTTATATTTATGGTTTCACTCATTTTAGCTTTTAACTACTGTTTTGGTTGTTTTGGCTTTGCTACTGTATAACTAATGTTGGTGTTTAGCTTCTATTCTGCTTATTTTAGCTAATATTATGCTAATGCAGTAGTTATGCTAACTTAGATACTGTTCTCTTAATTTTATTGGTTATCCTCGTTTTTGCTTGTTTTATTATTTTAGCTTTTCTTTTGCTAATGTTTCCTAGCTTCTGGTTTGCTTGTATTTTAGCTACTGTGTTGCTAATTTTAGCTTTGTTCCTTGAGCACTTAGCATTTAGACAGAAAGTTCAGTTTTTCTTCCTCTGAACGTTTGACTCGTCTTCAGTGAACATCTGCTGAAGCTCGTTGTGACTCTTGGTGCTGAATGTTCCTTCCAGGCCGTCCGCTCCCTCAAGGAGACGATGGAGGACTGCTGGGACCAGGACGCCGAGGCTCGCCTCACTGCTCAGTGCGCTGAGGAGCGCCTCGCCGAGCTGCTGCTCATATGGGACCGCTCCAAGTCCGTCAGTCCGACGCTGAACCCCATGTCCACCACTCTGCACAACGAGAGGTGGGCTCAGTCCCTGACGTCCTGCCGTCAGTCTGGAATTTGTTTTGAGACGTTTTCTTCTTTCTTTGTTTTTGGTTTTGTTTACAGGAATCGTATGACCCCAAAATCTGGTCCGTACACCGACCACCCCTCCAGCTACATTGAAGAGCACGAGGGTGTAGTTAAGAACATGCAGGTGGACTCCAGCAGCTCCACCACCAGCAGAGCCGGGGCCGGAACCGGAGAGAGGAACAGGAATTCCATCAACCAGGAGCGCCAGCAGCAAGCCAACGCCCGTCTGCCGAGCCCAGAGGGCAGCAGCACCAGCGTGGGCCTGCGGGGCAGCCCCTCAACCTCCACCACCACCGTCATCTCCGAGTCTGAGGGGCCCGCGGGAGCCAGCACAGTCCCCGTCTGCCTACATCTGACGCAGGAGGATCTGGAAACCACCAAGCTGGATCCTAAAGAGGTGGACAAGAACCTGAAGGAGAGCTCTGACGAAAACCTAATGGAGCACTCCCAGAAGCAGTTCTGCTCCCCGGACCCACTGAGCCCCGGCAATTCCAGCCTGCTGTACCCCCTCATCAAGATGGCCAGTGAAGCCTCGGGATCGTCGGAGCCCCCTGCGACCATGCCCGCCGCCATCTTCCCCCTGCCCAAGCAGCAGAACCTGCCAAAGAGGCCGTCCAGTCTGCCCCTGCGGAACAAGCCCGCCAAGAAGGAGTCCTCCTCGCTCAGGTTCAAGTTCGGACGCTCGGGGAAGTCCAACTTGAGGCAGGTGGAGGGAACAAAGATCAACACGGGTGCGGTGGCTGGCACAAACACTGTCGAGGCGCACGCGGGCACCAACAACGTACCCGTGCTGCGAGAGGTGCACGTCAACGGCGGCATCAACGGAGTCGTCAACGGAGCCGTCAACAGAGCCGTCAACGGCCACGCCGGCGGAGGCATGGCAACGATGGCGGCGGGGGGCAACGGACTGACTCAGAACGGATCGGCGGCCCTGAGGTCCGACGACAGCCGGCTCAGCCTCGGCGTGATCACAGCCAGCCCCGACGAGCACGAGCCGCTTCTGAGCCGAGAGCGAGAGCCGCCCGACTCGAGGGACGGGTCCTCGAGCGCGAGCGCCCTGCGCTCGGCCCGGCCCAACACCAACAACAACAACAGCAACACCGGGCGCGGCCAGGGGGAGGGCGGCAGCGGCGGGGAGAGCGACGCCGGAGAGGAGGAGGGCACTGCGGAGGGAGGGAGCAGGGAGACTATGGGAGGCGAAAGCGCCGGGTCGGGGTCCACTGCAGCAGACCCCCCAAGGGAGGCTACGGTCATCATGAGAGGAGAAGCTCTACTCAGGCAGCCCAGGACTCGCCGTCCGGAGAGACCCAACTCCCTGGACCTGTCCTTCACCACACAGGACCTGACCTCTCTAGGTGACTGCATCCACCACCAAAAACAGAAGCTCTTCTAGGTTTGTTTTGTAAGAAACACTGAAAACATCTGGAAATTTCCATCAGTCTGAGTTCAGCCCACAACGTTCGCTCTCCGTCTGTGGCTCGTTGTGATAGAAACTTTACACCCTCGCGTTCGGTCACGCTAGTTTTTATTTACATTTGGCTTTAAAGCTCGTATTTGAGGTGCCAAACAGCTTTACGACTAAATTTGACAAATCTAGAGAAATTATGCAGCGTCAGCGCCGAGGACTGAAACTGAACTCTTAAAAATGAAATTAGTAACATGCTAGCTAGAATGCTACTGGATGACTCATATTTCTCCCTGTGGATGGATGGATGGATGGATGGATGGATGGATGGATGGATGGATGGATCTGTCTATCTATTTACATCTATATCTCTATCCATATCGATATCCATCTATCATCCATCAATCTATATCTTATATCTCTATCATCTATTTATCATTATCTATATATATATATATATATATATATATATATATATATATATATATAT